GTTTGGGATAATATGATTAAAATAATTGTGGGTTTTAAATAATATGTAGGTCTGTTTTTTTTATTCTATTTACATAGGGGTCGAACTGAGGAAGTGTGTTATTCGCTTCTTTTATTTGATTAATGTTGAAATTCAATCAGGATTGGTTGTTTAATGTCGCATGTTACGTGTGTTCCGATTCTCGTTGTTTTTGTTTTGCGTTAGGTTTATGGTATATACCCCCCCCCCCCCTTCTAAACCAACTCGTCATCAATTCCTCCTCTTTTTTTTTCTAGTTCGTTGTTTCTGAAATGGTTCCACAAAAATTGTAAGACAGTAGGAAACTTTAAAATGTAAAAAGTTTTATGTATGTAATATTAGTGTTATTTACATTTAACAAAATGTCGTGTTTAATTATAGCCTTTATCTAATAACATTGAAAGTCTAAGTACTTATAAAGCATTCCCAGGAATAGACCGCTTGCTGTAAGGAAAAGTTATGCATATATATATCAGTTTGGCACTGTGCCAAACGTGCTGTAAAGTTTTAAAATATTGTATGGATATATGTATGACTTTTAGTTTCGAAAAAAAAAAAACATTCAAATATGGACGATGAAATAAACGAGTCAATGGTACATAGGTGTCATTTCGTACTTTTGTTTGTTATTTATCGATAAGTTCAAATACATTCCAAGTAATGCTAAGGCAGATTTTTTTTTACTAATCTTCCTTCAACGATTCAAATATTGACTCATTTTTATTTCCATACCACATAAGAAGTAAATATTTAAAAAATTATTCTTTCACGATAACTCCCCCCCCCTCCCCCATCCTAAAAACAAAACTGTGAGATCGGTGCACTAAGCTCTATATTAGGTCATCAAGAAATTAATGTCGCGTTTTGGAACACTTTCATTAACCACTCCCCCCCCCCCAAAAAAAAAAAACCTACATCACGTATAATAACAACGCCCCGGTAGCCTCAAAGACTATCAAAGAAGTTTATGGAAATGTTTTGAACGTTCGTAAGTGTCAACGATGGTTCAGAAAATTTCGTTCAGGTGACTTTAGCCTGTGATGGCAGGGGTCGACATGTTGGAATTGATATTGATGCTCTGAAGACGCTTGTTGAGTCTAACCCAAGGCAACACATTCGTGAAATTGCCCTAAAATTGCATGTCTCTCATGAAACAATACGCATACATCTAAGGAATATGGGGGAAACCCCATAAAGAATGTGTTAAGGTGACTCACGAACTCTCCGATGATGATCGTTTCCAACCTGTGAACGTTGCTTCATCTCTTCTGGCACGTGATGCGCGTGAACCATTTTTGGACAGAATTGTCACCGGAGTTGAAAAATGGATTCTCTATGCAAATATTAAACGCCAAAAACAATGGCTCAGTCCTAGATAAAAACCACTTCCGACCCCAAAACCTGGACTACGTCCGCAGAAAGTGATGCTTTGCATTGGGACATCAAAGGAGTAATTCATTTCGAACGCCACAATCCACAGCGAACTGTCAATGCAGAGATCTATAGTCAGCAACTGG